TAATTAAATTTAAAAATAGATTTTAAGATGATCCTAATAACATTTTACATCAAAATTATATACCATGATAAAATTTGAAGGTGTACCATACCTCTACAGCTACGGATGCATCCGTATGCCAACTTCACCCGCCCATAAAAGCTAGTGAAGTTCTTTTGAGGTGCAAATAGGATCAGTTCAGCCACTTCCCTGCAAACAAAACAAAAAAAATGTCATGCAAAGTGAGCAGGCAGATATGCAAGGAGACAAAATAGATGAAAGCCACTGCTAGTCATTCTCAATACGAATAGAACAATAGCATATAGATGGGCAATCTTTCTTCCAACAGTGGGCAATCTTTCTTCCAACAAAATGTCAACTTATACTGCTACATCACACTTAGATTCGCGATTAAGAACGTGGATGAAAGAACATTGAACACCATATAGATGCAGCAGCAAAAACCATCTCAAAGTGAAAGTCACAGATCATAAGCTGACAGAGCAAGGGAACTTTTTCAGTGAATACTGAACAGCCTTGTGAGCAAAGGGATGCTTTTTTCACCTGAGCTTAAACTGTCACTCTTGCTGCAAGGGAAAAAGTACGTATCGCCCATAAAAAAAATAATAAGAACAGAAAAAGGAAGATTCAGATGCATATTAGTCGTAAGATTATACATCACTCTGAGACCTAAAGCAAACCTGAGACTGTTCAGAGGAGTCCACGCCATCATAAGCCATATCAGCAGCAACTGCATTAAATGAAACTCAAAATGACATGGTCAATCATGGCAACAATGTTCACCTTTTCCAAACAAAGGATAATGAAATAGAAATATGTAGAAAAATAGTTTCTCATTCCCAGCACTGTAATCCAAAGCATTACAAATGTTCATTCTTATAACTTAAGTGATTCTATAAAATAATTTTCTATAAATTTTCCCTAAAGACTAAACAAAAATTGTGATTTTTTTACTAGCAAGACACATCAACGACCAGAAATTCACGAGTCATGAGCCCAAAAACTCCAGAATTTGCCGAATAAAGCAAACACCTCCTCGTAGGAATAATGGCCCATGCAAACATTTTACCTTCGCATTGAAAATATTATCCTACCCTTTCTATCGAAATTTACTAATAAAACAATAACTAAAACAACGATGTGGCCAAGCCTGCATATGTAGAAATGCGGGACTCTTAATAAATCTATTTTTTACATGGATTTTTGGACTTGTAATCTCCATGGATTTTTGGACTTAATTCTTAAGGAGATGTAATCTCTAATATGGAGATCATGAATTTAAAAACTAGAAATAATAATTCTAGTAATAAAACATTTGGACAGTTAGTTTCCATTGTTTTCAGATGAAACACCTACTTCAATCCATCTTTACGATGGATGCTTTACATTGTTTGGATAGCATATGTAGTCATGCAGTCCAGCCCACATGAAGCAATTTTCCATAAAACAATAATACAGTTTATCAAATTTTATTTTCATTTCTCAAATATGAAATATGGTGAGAGCTGGAAGCATGGTCCGACGTTGTCCTGGAATTATTGAGCTCTTCGCTGCCATTGCTGGTTACAAAACTCCCCTCCGAACCCTCTCCTTGAGAGGATCTCAAAATAGGGTACTCAATGAATTCCACTGCACCTGATACCTATCATCATGATCGCAAGCAGCCATGATGATAAGAATTGGAATTGGAAAGCCCAAGGAGGCAAGGAAAGACTAAAGAATCAAAATGAAATGCAACAGCTTTCACGCTAGCCATAGCTTCTTGCTTTCGAGCTGTAGTTTGTTGACGTTGCAATGCCCTCTAGAGCGATTTGATGTTGCTTGCACTCACTCCTTAGGTTGCTACGAGCAAGTGGATTCAATTAGCAAGCTATCATTGTTGCTCATTGCTAGAGTGCTATCCCGGGTTCCTTAAAGCAAACTAAGCCAACTACTATACTATACTAAAGGCTACTTTTAGCTTCTATAGTGGCCCTTCCACTTTGGTGTAAGGTGTAGTTTTAGTATTTGTACTACATAAACATAAGCTTTGAACAAAGGCAAGCATCTTATATTTATATATAGGAAAATGCTGAGATTAGCCCACTAGTTCATATGAACATATAAGCCTAACAGCCTAGATTGAATCTGGATCGATCTGACGGTCACGACCTCATTTCGTATTTTAGTTTTAATTTTTTTTTTTTTACGAATCCAAATAATTTGAAATGTTAAGCGTGACTTCTTCTCTTTAAAGTGCGCCTAATAAAAATATTTTCAAAAAATTTCGTAAAAAATAAATTGACCAAAATACCCCTAAAACGTATCAGGGGTATTTTGATCTATTTATTTCTTCCAAATTATTTTATTGAAATTTTTATTTGATTCTCATATTTTGAAGAAGACATGCCTAAAATTTCAAATTATTTGGATTCGTAAAAAAAAAATTCAAATTCAAATACAAAATGAAGTCATAACCTTTAGAACAACCCAAATTCAATTTGGGCCCTTGGGCTCATATGTTCATATGAGTTAGTGGGCTAATCCCAATATTTTTCATATATATATATATATATATATATATATATATATATAAATAAAAGATGCACTTAAAAACTCCAATGGAAAAAGTTGTTTTAATGTCGAAAAACCCTCTAATTGATCATCTCGATTACGAGATACATGATTATGAAAAAAAAAAAATTTAATCCCAAAAATCGTGCATCTTGCAACACATTATCTGTACCGTCCATTTTCAAGATTTTCATATGTTTATAGATTTACTTGATTTTAACCATTTATGGAGTAAGAGTTTTATAATTAGATGTGAAAATAGATTTTCATATAATCATAAAAAAAATTTACACCAAGCCTAATAAAATTCGGAAGTGCGCCTTAGTTGGATTGTTTAAGTTGCAACCTTATAGAAACCACACCCATTCTAAATAAACCAAGGATCTATCCCAAAAAATAATCCGTAATTAGTACGTAAAGGTTTTCTTTTTCACGAAAATAATGCTGATGTGGCATCACCTTCTGTCTCTAAAACTCTCCCAACTTATAAGAGCTATTTCTATCTTCTCCATCTCTAAGCCATTCTCTCTATCTGATTTCTTGGTATTTTTCGTTCTTCCTCTCCTTTCTTGGTTCTTTTCTCTCTAGAATCTCTCTCCAAATCTTTCTTTCTTGGTTCTCTCTCTCTAAAATCTTTCTCTATCTAAATCTTTCCCTCTATCTGCATTATTAATCTCTCTCTCTCTCTAAATCTTTTTATCTGCGTTCCTTTCTTGGTTCTTGCTCTATAAAATCTTTCAATCTCTAAAGGTCTCTCACTCTTATCTGCGTTTTTTCTTGGTTCTTTCTCTCTCTAAAGCTCTCTCTCTCTGCGTTTTTTCTTGGATCATCAGTTTGGTGGGTGAGGTGAGAATGCCCAGGGGAATAGGAGAACGAGGTACACTCTTTCTCTCTCTAAGATTTTGAATAACATTAACCAAGTAGAATTGCTGTCTCTCTCTAAGGAAGAGTTAGTTATCTGCAAATTTTTGAAAACCATGAAGTTTTTTATTTCCCTGTTGAATATTTTTGTATCCTTGTTGAAGCCTTCTGTACTGATTTAAAAATGCTCTCTTAGGAAATTTAAGAATGTATCCACTGTTAAACAGAAAAAACTAATTATTACAAATGCTCTCCTTTGATGAGATATTAAACAGAAAGTCAGGAACAAAGAAAATATAACATTCAGAATTTTCAGAGTTTCCAAGAACGTGTTCTAATAATAAAAGTTCAATTTTTGAAAATCTTTAAAGTTTTTTATTTCCCTGTTGAATTTTTAATATCCATGTTGAAACCTTCTGTACTGATTATTAAAAATGCTCTCTCAGGTGATTTAAAAAAGCATTAACTGCTTAAAGCATTTTAAATAAAACTAAATAATTATTAAAAAAATACTCTCCTTTGATGAGATGTCAAACAGAAAGTCAGGAACAAAGATAATATATCATTCAGAATTTTCAGAGTTTCCAAGAATGTGTTCAAATAAAAAAAGTCAATTTTTTTAAAAACATGTAAGTTTTTTATTTCCCTGTTGAACTAATATCCCAGTAGAAACCTTCTGTACTGACTATTAAAAGTGCTCTCTCAGGTGATTTAAAAATATTTTAAGACCATTCGTAAAAATATATTTAGCGCTGCAAGCGTTTTAAATAAAAAATAAAAAATTATTAAACAATGCTATCTATTGATGAGAAGTCAAACAGAAAGTCAGGAACAAAGAAAATATATCATTCAGAATTTTCAAAGTTTCCAAGAATGTGTTCTAATAATAGAAGTTAAACTTTTCAAAAAAATGTAAGTTTTTTATTTCCCTATTGAATTTTTAATATCCCCGTTGAAACCGTCTGTACCGATTATTAAAAATGCTCTCTCAGGTGATTTAAAAATATATTAAGCGCTGCAAGCATTTTAAATAAAAAGTAAATAATTATTAAAAAATTATCTTTTTTTATGAGATATTAAACAGAAAGTCAGGAACAGCGAAAATTTATCATTCAGAATTTTCAAAGTTTCCAAGAAAGTGCATTAGTAATAAAAGTTGCAAATATATGTCACCCACCCCTACATAAGATATGGTGTTAAGGAATCTCTCAATTTCACTAACAAATAAAGATTGCAATATTCTACTAATTGAAAAAAAAAAAAAAAAAAACAAAAAAAAGAAGAAAAAAAACGAGACATATAATTAGTCATGAAATGTATTTTTTTTTTTCTATATTCGTCATGAAATGTAGGTTGGTATGAGGACTTATAATTGTTGTCCATTCTTACAGCTATGACTATGCCATTTTGCAACCTACATGAACTCAATATTTCCAATACAAATATCACATTGTACTTCACCTCTCTTCCTCCCCCAAATGACCTACAACCCTTCAAGATGAGAGTGTCATCACTGAGACCCTGGAACATGAGAACTCGGCCCTAGAACATGAGAAATTAGATTCAGAGTACGTGAGAAATTGGATTCAGAATATGAAAGGCGGACTGAAGTAGATATCATCTCTACCGTACAGAAATTCTCGACCCTGGACCATGCGATTTCGCATATTTTCGAAAAACTAGAGTCATGTGGCCTACTCCACGAAACATTTATAGCATCACTGCCCTAGTAGCAGCTCATACATTTGGGGCTGCTAAAGCCCTTGGTGCTACGGGTGGTGGAGACTACCAAGAGCGCATGTGGTCGAGTAATATTAGTTTTTGAAGGAGACCTCGAACCCGAACAAGTCAAACTCAATTTGTAAAGAAGAATTTGAGGAAATGAACAAAGCCTCGATTGAGGATGTAGATATTTACGAGGCAGAGGACGATGATGAGGACATAGAGATTCAGGAGGCAGGTGAGATGGTGGGGATCTCGAGATTTTAGAAGAAGAGGATGAAGTGAATCATGGGGCAGGTGAGGATGGTGAGCATTTCGAGATTTCAAACGTGCTGAGCGGATGGAGATGAGGATTATGACGTTCGGGGGGCCGATGAGGATGACGGAGTTGTAGTGATTCACGGGGTAAGTGAGGATGATGAAGATGATATCCCTGGAGAGGATGACGGGGTTGTAGTGATTCACGAAGTAAGTGAGGATGAGATTTCAAACGATAATGAGGGTATGCGGATTTGGGAGGGAGATGAGGATTATGACATTTGGGAGGCAGATGATATCCCTACAACAACACCAGCTGCAGACGATATCCCTACAACACCAGCTGCGTACGAAGTTAACTCCTTGATGCGGGTGAAGAAAAGAGATGAAGAAGGCTACAACTGCATTATTTGTATGTCGGAGCTTAGTGTAAATGATGACGACTTAAGGGAGATGCCCTGTGTGGCCATTTCTACCACGAAGAATGTAGATTCAAATGGCTTGAGGAAAGAGATTCATGCCCGGTGCACAGGCATCGACTGTCGACGGAATAAATTGCATTTTCGTTTTTCTCCTCGCACATAATCATCCATTACTTATATGGAGATAAATGTATATAACTCTATCAATGAAATTGAGATCTTATTGTGCTTGCGTATTAGAAGTTGTGGGTTTGGACAGTCTACGGTTAATCAGTTTGCTTGTAACTGTTCAGTATTCATTCTAAATGATGTTTTGGTCTATGTGATCATAAATTCATAACAAGGCCTATTTAGTCATAATCTAAAACCAGAAGCTCACATTAACAGCACAAAAATGCATAGTATCACCATAGCAAGGTTGACACTTAGAAAAACTCGTTGATACCAAAAACCTTTTTGAAGTTTAAACATCTTGAGTAATATTAACTAGGAAATATCGGAGACAAAAGCACCAGCTACTGCCAGCCACTTTTCAGTCATGCCCCTGGTTCCTTACACTTGCCTTAACCGACCGTAGCCAGACTAAAGGTGGACATAGTTTTGTCTATCAGTGGGTAAGGGAACGAGCAAAACCTCATATTGTGCAAAAGAAAGGGACTACCTGAAGATACACATGAAATTGAGGAACATGGTACCTGAAGGAAATACGGTCCCAGACCATGAGCACAGCCACACAATCAGATGTCAAGCTGGAACAGCAAAAGGAGCATCAACCCAACTTCGGTCAGATCATGATTTCTGGTCGATCGTCCTATAAGCTCCAAAATGAACCAATACAACACGAGAGAGCAAGAGATTGTGCCATTTGGGCCAGGTCTATGGGCAGCAGACGAAGAGAGAGACAAGAACATCGATGTGAAAAGAAAGGGAAAGCAACAAAATCAGATTCATAATGTCTACATGCATCCGTATATTATAGCATATTATAATGAAGTATAGCATACCTTACTCCAAAAGCGATCCAAATTCTGGTCCCTCCAATTAACCATGTAGACCAACAATTATGGGGCCCACTGGCACATTCGCCTCAGCAAAGTTAGATCCATCTGTTCATTATTGAAATAGATAGTGGATTCCACTGTAGCATACTAATCGATTGGATCATGGTACACTAATTAAAAAGCATTTACCTGGGCAGATTACAGTTCAGACTTCTCAAGAACACAGCTTCATGTTCAAAGCCAGAAATTGAAGCATTTCTTTTGTTCCTCACATCTCCCATGCCAGCAGTAAGCGTCTTTTCAAAATCCCATTTCACTATTTGAAACACACGGCGGAGTGCTGCAATACAAACTTTAACTTTTCATATGTATCAGTTGGAATGGGATGTCATCTGTAGAGATGGATATCAGATACTAATTTTCATTAATAAATAATCTTGATGATGCTAAAAGGGCGCATTTTGGGACCTATTTTTTACAAGTCTGGAAATGTTATTTATTTTTACATGAAAAGGTTGGACAACCTGTTGGATCATTTTCATCAAAACTCAACAAAATAGCTCGATCTTCACAGCTCTACTCTTTTTGATGAAGCAAAAATACAAGACTTATGTGATCTATATTTTAAATGCAAGTTAATATGACAATTCATTTCTCTTATAATCACAAAGTAATTTCATTAGATACCTGAATGAAAAATGCATCCTTCTGAGCTGCAGTGCATTCCAACCTGCAAAAGAGTACATGCGCCTTTAGTCCACACACAATAACAAAAATGACATCTAGAGCAGAGGAAACATTTTAATATCCTCTGAAAATACAAGAAAAGTAAAAAGCGAGGTTTGCAAATAATACTCACAAAGCTTAACTGCAGAACAGGTTTGTAGAATGGAAAGCAACAAAAAAGAATGGAGAGAACCAAAACAAGGCAATTAATCAGTGGCCATTCTAGAGTGAGAACTTGGTAATCATTTGGACAAGTTTAATTCAACATCCTTGAGCAAAGGACGACAAGACCATGATGAGTGTTAACTCAGATGCATCTTATGAGGATCGTCTTCATTTTGTATAAAACCTTATGTTACACACATTTTTTATCACTGAAACACAGTTAACAATAAAAAAATAAAAAAAAAATGAAATAGAAGGTCAACTCTATGATAGATTTTTAGCCTTTTATTTTTATTTTTAATTTAAAAATTTTATTATCACGAATTTCGATGTCAGCTTTATTATTATAAGATGAATTAAATAGAAATTATAAAAAAATATTTTTAACCAGAAAATATTGATCAAAACGTATTTAAGGTTATTTTTTAATTTAAAAATGTTTAATTATATTGATTCAGTTCTCTTTATAAAAATGAATTTCTATCAAAAATTTCAGATAAATATAATATTTTAATAAAATAAAAATAAAATGGGCAATGAATTTTGGCCATTAATTAATGGCCATGTGAGACGTTGGAGATATGCATGCTTATGCATGTCTGAATGATAATGGCGGCTCACTTACGTTAAATCAATATAGGCCAAAGATCGTAGCCATACATGTGGTCAGGATACCAAGAGAGTGTGTATGTGTCCATGAGTGTGTATGTGTTTTGTATGATTTGGGCCCAGCCCAATATATACAAAGTGAACCAATTGATTATACAACTATTCTTGTCTATATTCCTATAACATAAGGGAAAAAGTTTCTATGCTTCTCCTACATCCAGCTGTCCAATTTAGATCAAGTGATCTACTAAGTATTTAATCTTAGATTCAACATCTCAGAGTATTTTATTTTTAATTTTTTTTATACCAACTATATGAATATTTGGTACGTGACATCACCTCAATAGGGCACACCTAAACAAAATATTAAAAATAATATTTTTGATAAAATACAATGATAAAATATACCCCTGAAATTTTAAAGGGTATTTTAGTCATTTTATTTTATTGAGAATGTATTTTTCTATATTTTTTGTGGGTGAGTATTGAACAACCAAAATTTGGTGTAAAAATGTTTTTGTATAAAAAAATTAAAAATAAAATAATATAGAGGGTGATATTGTGATTGGGGTAATCTAAGCTGTCCATTTAGAATGGAACATTGGATAGGGAAAATATAGAAGTCTTATGCTGTAGGGGAAGCATAGAAAGCTTGCCCTAATTTAACTAGGGTCATTAATAGGCTGGGGTCGGGCAGGTCTAGCCCTAGCCTGAGCCCCAACCTAAATCTATACAAGGTAGGCCCTTGCCCGGCCCCAAACTATTTGGGCTTTCCAGGCCCTGCTTTGCCACACTAACAACCCTAAAAACAAGGACAAAGTTTCTATAAGTCCATGTAGAAATGAGTCCCCTCTTAAAAATCTATTTTTGAGACGGATATTTGGACCTAATTTTAAGGGACATATAATCTCTAACATGGAGATCATGAATATGAGAAAATAAATTAAATTTTAAAATTAAAACTAATAATTTCATGAATAAAATATTTAGACCCTTAATTTCAATTATTTTTAGATTGACCATTCATTTGTATCCATCTTTAAAATGGACGCTTTATACCTCAGAGATGCAAATATACAAATATGTCCCCCGAATCATGGAACAATTTTCCTAAATACAATAGGTCGGCAAGGAGGCATAAACATCAAACTTCCAAAAGTACTTTCCCAATTTTTTAGGAAAGCTTAACTTAATTATGGTGTAGGAATCAACTTAGAGAAATTGGCTCACACTCGGGACTAGCCATGGCCATGTCCATGCCAAGTTACTCAAGTAAGTCCTAGTGGACTTGTCTGAATCCTGCACAAGCCCAAAAATACTAAAAAATTGTTAAAACAAATATGAAAAGATGGCAACAATAATTACAAATCAATAAAACTAATAGACTGGTTATGCGCATTATGTAGGATGGTAAACAATATATCAAAAAATGGAATATGGAAAAACTTTGATATAAAGCATGACACAATTCAAAAAATAAAAAAGAAAAAAAATAAAAAAATAGAGCATATAATAATAAAAGTTCATAAATTATCATTAAAATATTCAAAAATTACGTAAAGTTACATTTGTACATAATTTCTTGATAAGGTTGAAACCTTAAACAATCCATTTAAGGTGCACCTCCAAACTTTATCCTAAGATACAATTTTGGTAACGAAAATTCTTACGACAGTGTGAGAATCTACTTTTATCTCTGGTGACAAAGTCTTAAAATCCAAAAATGGGTCAAATTAAGCAAATCTATAAACGCAAGAAAATTTTGAATATGGACAATCCAGATAATGAATTAGATGTTTTTCCAACATCAAAACAATCGTTCTTTTGGGAATTTTAGAGTTGCACCTTAATTTTACATTTTAAGTTGTCAACCTTATATAATTTTTTTTAAAAAAAGCCATATAACTTTCATGATTCCTTTTATATACGATTTTGTACATAGAACTAACCTCGGTGGTTGTCGAGATTGAGTTAGTAAATCAAAATATAGTCTTAAATCACTTGTAGGAATGGCCCATTCAAACATTTTTCCTTCCCGTTGAAAAGAATATCCAACCCTTTCTATCGAAATTTACTAATGAAACAATAAATAAAACAAGGACCTGGTTTCTATGCAGCGAAGCCCGCATATGTAGAAATGCGGGCCTATTAATAAATCTATTTTTTACATGGATTTTTGGACTTAATTTCTAAGGACATGTAATCTCTACTATGGAGATCATGAATTTAAAAACTAGAAATAATAATTCTAGTAAGAAAACATTTGGACCGTTAGTTTCCATTGTTTTTAGATGAAAAACCTACTTCAATCCATCTTTACGATGGATGCTTTACATGTTTTGGATCGCACATGTAGTCAGGCGGTCCAGCCCGCATGAAACAATTTTCCATAATACAATAATAAAGTTTATCAAATTTTATTTTCATTTCTCAAATATGAAATACAGTGAGAGCTGGAAGCACGGTCCGACATTGTCCCGGAATTATTGAGCTCTTCGCTGCCATTGCTGGTTACAAAACTCCCCTCCGGACCCTCTCCATAAGAGGATCTAAAAATAGGGAACTCAATGAATTCCACTGCACCTGATCCCTATCATTGTGATCGCAAGCAGCCACGATGATAAGAATTGGAATTGGAAAGCCCAAGGAGGCAAGGAAAGACTAAAGAATCAAAATGAAGCGCTTCTTGCTTTTGAGCTATAGTTTGTTTGGCGTTTTGCTCTTGCAATGCTCTCTAGAGCGATTTGATGGTGCTTGACACTCGCTCCTTAGGTTGCTACAAGCAAGTGGAAGCAATTAGCAAGCTATCACTGTTTGCTCATTGCTAGAGTGGATGCAATTAGCAAGCTATCACTGTTGCTCATTGCTAGAGTGCTATCTCGGGTTCCTTAAAGCAAACTAAGCCGACTACTATACTATACTATACTTTACTATACTATAGGCTACTTCGGAATAAGGTGTAGTTTTAGTATTTGTACTACATAAACATAAGCTTCGAACAGAGACAAGCATTATATATATATATATATATATATATAGAAGATGCTAGGGTGAACCCACTAGCTCATAGAATAGTATAAACCCAATGGCCTAGATTGAATCTGAGCCAATTTGATGGCCGAGAGTGTTTGAATTTTAGTTTTTTTTTCTACAAATCCAAATCACTTGAAATTTTAGGTGAATGTTATTCTCATCAAGCCGCATCTAATAAAAATATATTCCGCAAAATTAAAAATGACCAAAATACGGCTAAAAATTTGCGGGGATATTTTGATCATTTTGTTTCATGTAAAATATTTTTTTTAATATTTTTCGAATATTTACCTAAAATTTCAAGTGATTTGGATTTGTAGAAAAAAATTAAAATTCAAGCACTATCGAGCATCTGTGATCGTTAAATCGACCCAGATTCAATTTGAGCCAATGGGCTCATTTTTTCTTGTGAGCCCATTGACTCACAGAAGCTTTTTCCTATATATATATATATATATATTATAAACCATTAAATAAAGTATTACAATAGATAAGATATCCAATTCCTAATAAAAAAGATTTATTAGATAGAGTAGCTAATGCTTGTATATTTTTTAAATTTGATATGAAGTCAAGATACTGGCAAATCCAAATCAAGAAAAAAGATAAATATAAAACAACATTTAATGTTCCATTCGGACAATTTGAATGGAATGTTATGCCTTTTGGATTAAAAAATGCTCCATCAGAATTCCAGAAAATAATGAATGATGTTTTCAATCCTTATTATAATTTTATGATTGTTTATATTGATGATGTTCTTATCTTTTCAGAATCCCTAGAAGACCATTTTAAACACATTAGTACGTTTCGACATGCAGTAATTCATGCAGGCTTAGTCGTTTCTGCTAAAAAGATAAACTTGTTCAAAACTAATATTAGATTTCTAAGACACAATATTCATCAAGGCACGATCATTCCCATCAACCGCTCAATTCAATTTGCTGATAAATTTCCAGATAAAATTTTAGACAAAAAAGAACTTCAAAGATTTTTAGATTGTTTAAACTATGTTATTGATTTCTATCAAGACCTTGCTATTGATGTCAAACCATTGCATGATCGTTTGAAAAAGAATCCTCCACCTTAGACAACTGTTTATACCAAGGCAGTACAAATAATTAAACAAAAAGTAAAATCTTTACCATGCCTTTCTCTTCCTAACCCTACTGCATTTAAAATAATTGAATGTGATGC